ATATGAGACTTGTGTTTCTTCTTACTTTCCCACGTTTACCACATGTGCAATGATGGAGCATAGAGACCATAGTATCTGCTATGGAGTTCCAAATTCATGTCCTGTATAAGAAGCAGTGGGTGGCAAAGTACAGTTCAATCACGTTCACCAGACCTAAAAGGACCACCTAGCACAAATAAAATAGCTCCAAGGGGGAAATAATTCTACAATAATTCAGTGGCAAATCTTTATGATTGCAATTGTACAAATATAGATCTCATTATGTCACTGGGATATTATTAAGCCTTATCTTTTAATTTCCTAGGGTTATGTTATATGATAACGTCTTCTGTGCCTCCTTATATGGACGGATTATTTATGCCAGCCACCCCTGTTCGACAAAGCAATTCTGGATCTGTGAGAGAGTGGCTGTTCATTTTCCCTGAAGAAGCACTGCAAGAAGGGAAGTGGGATCTACAGCTATGAGACACCAACTTTAGGAACTAGAAGTTTCAAAATATTTTTATGTTTGTTTATCATTCAGTTTTCTCAGAACAGTGATTCAAATGGACAGGTCATCTTCCTCTTTGTCTGCATTTTTCCTCCCAGGCTTAAAAATGAGAGAGCAAAAGAAAACCATAAAGCTAAAAACTACAAGCAACTTGAAAGAATTAGTTACAGTCAAACAATGTTTCTTGCACGACTCCCTAGGTTGAGCACACATTCTCACAGATCCCTATATTACTTGAGCTTCAGTCAGCACTTTGCCACCTGACAGTCATAAACCTGTCCAACTACATCCTTGATGATTTCACTCACTGCATTACTTATGGTACACACTAACTACCACCCACTCATAATCCTCTTCTAGAGCAATTTGCCTAGGCATGTCTTCTTTCCTAAATCTGTTTTTCCAACTGTTCCCCTGTTTGAGGTACAGGGATACAGAAAGAACGCAAGGCTCTATTTATCCATAATGTTCTTTTAATATATGCATTAATATTTATAGAAACAAAAGGACATTTGTGAGAAGACTACAGGGAATCCCTGGAAGCAATCTCTGTGAAAAGTAGAGTCAAATGTCATGGTTGGATTAAAACATTACCTGGATAACTTTAGTGATATCATAACATTAATTGTTATGCAAATATCAGTAAGGATAATAATTATGTGCTCCATTCAGAGCTACACACAGTCAGTACTCAAACTGATGCAGAATCCACTGCCACAGATCTTACTTGAGCTCTTGGATTATAGCAACCCTGGGATCTCTGGAGCCCAAGGTACACACTATGCATCATGTGTAACTAAAGCACTTGTCATACTTCGTGAAAGAAAATTAGGCTTCCACTTCTATGGGTGGAGTTTTAATACATGAATTCTTTTCAGTTTTGTGTGTCAGCATCTGTTTTGTATTACATATGCATATAGCCCTCATATATGCATATATATCTTGTATCTGTGTGTATATGCCTTCATATTTGGAGACTTTCCTTAAAATAAATTAAAAAATAATATGTCTTTAATATTAAATATTTCCTTGGAAAATATTCTCAAAGACTGAAGCAGTTCCTTGGTAAAAAAATGAACCTCTCTTCCTAATGTGCCTGAAGATATTTGTGAACTGAATGAATTCACCATAGTCAGTAGAGGCAAGTCATAATTCATGGGCATGACTACCAATTGAACTATCTAGAATTTCTTACTATTGCAGAAGGATGTGCAAGGTATAATGCAATTAAGATACAATGTTTCATCTGTTTCAACCCCTTCAACTAGAAAAAAATAATTCACAGCAGGCATCTAAACTGCCACATTTTAACCCTTTTTATTCCCATAAAATAACACTTTTTTTTTCTTCTTTTCTTTTTTCTTTTTTTTTTCCTAGCAGTCTGCTTATACAGCTTTGTTTGATGACTGCATTATGAAAACAAATGTTAGCATTTGCGTTGCCTGCAGACTGCTTGGAGTGACTCTTTAGGGAGCATTCAATATTACTGCAGGAAGGTCAGGTCAGTGGTGGTAATGTGCAGGGTACATTTCTTTCATTTCTATGGTTGGATGGTCTTCATAAACTATTTCCATATCTTCATATAGTAAACTCCATTTGTTCTCAGCCTAAATCTTGGCCTCAACATCTTGGAAAGAGCTTTCTCCTTGTTAACAATGGCGTACTTCAGAGGGAAGAATTTATAGTGTCTAGTATCTTAAACTCAAGAAAATCCACTCTCTGTGGGGATGGAGGAGGTCTACAATCCTTCCATAGCACTGGGAATTTCAGAGAAATGGGCTTTGAAGCCCATTTTTTATGAAAAATAACAGCTAGTATTGTATACTAAGTGTGAGAATAAAGCCCTTGGTAAAGCTAGAGACATCATAAAACTTGAAAGGTTTGGAAACTAAAGAGAAGTTGCTGTCTTCAACATCCCTTCAAACAGGACATGGACAGTGAAGAAAATAGAGGTGAAGTGAATAAAGGGGTGTACTGGGGGAATGAGTCCTGCAGTGTCGTTCTGAAGTGGAAGGAGCATGACAGCTTCACATGCACCCATCTACAATGAGATAACCAAGACAGTGAAATGGGAGGACCCTAAATGTTAACTGCTGGATAGGAAAAAGCAGAATTCATGGATGTCAGGAAGAAAGGTTCAGAAACAAGAGTTGAACCAAACACCCCAGCTGCACAGTGCCACTTCATATCTTCCACTACGCTTTCTGCTCCAGGCCCAAATGGTCTCCACCATCCTTGTTATGAGCACACCTGCTGCTCTGGAGAGGGTTCAGACTTGCCATTAAATGCTGGTGCTCACAGGCTGAAACCCGCTGTCAACAAGATGCTAAATAAGATGGTGCCAATCTGCATTCGCAGACACTGTTTGCAGAAATCAACAGAGAAAAAGAACTCTTCCCTGTGAAATTCAGACAATTTGATCAACAATCAAAGAATTTGATGCTCATCTGTCTCTGGATCTTCCATCTCTGTTTGTTCTTTCCATTTCAAATCTAAATCTTAAAACATTTAGCCATTATAACATACTGCACTTTTAAATCAGTAAAAGGTGACTAAGAGACTACAAGAAGGTGCCCAGGAGCACAGCTACAGTGATAAACATGGGACTATCTCTTTATCAGCAAGTGCTCCTTTAGAGCCCTCTATCTTGTTGCCACATTCATACGTACACTCTGCCAGGGCTGATTAGAGCACTACTAGAGGTAACTAACAGAAACTGTAGTAAGGGAAATCCCAGTTAGACACAACGAGAACATTCTTCACAGCGGGAGTGACCAAACGCAGGAAGAAGTATCCAGAGAGACTGAGAGATCTCTGTCCTTGGAGTCTGCATGAACTTGACTAGACAAGGCCTTGAGCAACTTCATCAGCATTCTGTATTTAACAAAATCTTTTAACTGGTATAATTTTGTCCGTGAAGCACGGTCCTCCACTCTGACCCTGTCTTCACTTAGCCAGTTTTTGTATTTGTTTTGTGTTAAATTAAATAAACCCCTAGTCATATGGAACATCTGAAGCAGCAGATGAGGTGCCAGCCTTTCAGAACCTTCTCTCTTGACATCATGATTTTAATACCTGCTATGTTACCTGCTAGGGGAACTTCCAGAGGAAAAAGGGAAGAGGGCACAGCACTGTGCAGAAAGCTACAGACCAAGCTTTTCAAAAAGAAAAATGGTCTCCAGCTGTAGCTGGGTGGTGCAGAGAATTTGAGTTACTAAATAAAGTAGTATCCAGTATTTTTTTACTTTCTAACTTTTTATTTCCAAGTGACAAGAAAAGGGAATAGATGATGCTATTTCAGGTGGTCTATTATTGTTCCTTTGGACATACTCCCTTAAAAATCAGTCTTCCCTTCATAGTCACAAAACACAAAGTCATGGAAAGGTTTAATTTGGAAGGGACCTCTGAAGTCCATCCGGTCCAAACTCCTGCTCAGCAGGTCTAATTTCAAAGCTAGACCAATTAAGTCCAGACCCTGTCAAGTTCAGAAAAATCTCCAAGAATGGAGATGACACAGCCTCTCTGGGTACCTCTTCCAGTATTTGACCACCCTACCTGTAACTTATGACCATTGCTTCTCATCATTTCACTGTATACCTCTCAGAGTGTGGCTCCATCTTCTCCATAGCTCCTGTATGTAATTGGATTCTTCTTAGCTTTCTCTTCTCCAGGCTGAACAAATCCAATTGCCAGAGTCTGTCCCTCTAAATCAAGCACTCCATCTCCTAAGCATCTTGGTGACACCTCCCTGGTCAGCTTTAGTATTTATGTGTTTTATGGGATTTAAATTTTTTGTTGAGCCCAAAGCTCCAACTGCATACTTACAAGTGATGGAGAGAAGAGAATCATCACCTCCTTCACCCTATCAGCTACATTCTTGCTGAGTTGGTCCAGTACGTGGTTAGCCTTTGCCACAAGGGCTCACTTCTCTTATTTATTGAATCCTGTCTGTGTCTTTTTCCCCACATTGATTTCTCACTTTTCCCTCTAAGAAGATGACATTAGACTCTGGACAGAACTTCCTACCTCCTCTGTGTGACTTGCAGCTGCAAACTTTGCTCTCAATTGAATACAGATGCCTAGATTTTTAGCCCTTCAATCTGAATAATGAAAAAGGCACAGAGCTGAAGTTAGTCTGCCTCTGAGAGGACTCAAAGGATTTTTTTCTGTTGGAAAAAAGGGAAAGTTCAAAGGAGATGAAAGTCATGAGAAGGTTAAATGGAAAAGAGGGGAACTACCAAGCTATACATTTACTGGGACTCATGTCATCTCTACCTGGTCTAGTCCTGGGAATGCAGAGCCAGGCTGAGATGTGATGGGTGGGAAGAGAGGAGTTCTTCCCCTGAGGGAGGAAAAGGAGAAGTCACACTTAACACTTGAATATTAATATTTTGCCTCAGGGCATTTTAAGTGTGACTCATTCTTCTATCTCCTCCCTCTTTCTGCTTTTCTATTTGCTTCTCCTTCACAAATCAGTTAGTCTTTTAAGAGGAGCATTACTGAACCACGAATGAGTTTTCAGACAATGGATACGAATACAGAGGAAGAGGATGGATACACTAACTTATATCACCTGCCACAGCATCCAGTCAGACACTACATGTCACTGAACATCAACAGAGGTATGACTGACACCTGCTCTTTGAACTTTCTGTGCTATAGTAGACAATAGGAAAAGTCTCTGAAGGAAAGATACATACATAGATGATAGGTTACATAGATAAGAGTTTAATACATAGGTTTAATCCACTATTTATATTGTTTTGTCTGACAAAAACCAGCATACATGGATGTGAAAATGGAAGAGTGCAACTACTGTCATTACTTGCCCTAAATTTCTACAGGAAAAGACAGGGGGCTTCACTATCAAACTCCAGAATGTAGGAATCAACTTTAATGTTGTTAGATTTATTTATTGGTTTTTTTATTATTACAGGAAATGTCTAGAAAGACAGGACAATCTGACGTTAATAATAAAAAAACCCCACGTTTTGCCATCTGGACCTCAATTTTTCAGAAAATGCTTAAGATTCATAGCCTTTAAGGTCAGAAGGGATGAGGCAGCACCAGGCCTGATTGCATAGGTCATGTCATTTCACTTCTTCAAGAGGTATATTGTACTTCAAGAGGGTATCCAGTCTTGATTTAAATATTTCTTCATCTGAAAGATCCATCATACTGCATTGCCATGATCATCTGGGGATGGTAATTCTCAGGAACGTTTAAATCCAGGGAAACCTCAGTGGATATTTTGGACTCCAGAGTTTTTCTCAAATGGGCTGAAGCCCATTTGTCAAAGGCATGGAATCCCCCACCTGTTTCATTTAAACCATGTCCAGCGTCTCCTTTCAAACAGATCTTTTTAACAGGGACATCACATCTTCTTCTCAACTTGCATTTTGGTTGATCCTTAAAATACAGTATAACCTGGAAGGGGAACTCATTTGAGAGTCACCAGATGGCTCTTCATGGAGGGGTGGAGGGTTGGGAGTGCTGCTGTACAGAGTGCCTGTCCTCAGACAAGTTGTTGGTTTCTCCAGGGCGCTCTCTTCCCTTTGCTGTATGGTGGCCAGCTATCTTCACTTTGTTTGCACTGTGCCTGGCCCTCACCATAGGAATGATAGTCCTAGGTAAGTGCTGAAACATACTGTGTTCCTTTATTCATATTAACACCTTGGGATTAACTGCACTGAGGAAAGGTGGCAGTCTGACTGCAACAAGGACAGTCATAGCTCATCCTCCCCACATAAACTGTCCTTTCCTCTCCTCCTAATTGCCTGTGATGAACACTCTGCACCTTGGTGCACATAATGCTTTGAGGGAAGCATATTTTTTTAAGTCTGGACCCATGCCCAGAGCAAGGATATAGAAGTCAAGATGATATATTTTGGAAAGAGTCGGAGGAATGGATTCCGTCCTCATCCATCTATTACTCATTTATCTGCCAATTCAAATGAAATTATAAAATTCTAATGCTGACTTTCATAAATCAGTCTCTTGTTTCCCTTCTCCTCTTCTTCTGTTGTTCAAGTCTCTCTACTAGAATAACAGTATCTCCTTTGATAAACCTTTCATGTTTGTAGACTACTGTCATAAATTAGTTCATACTGGTATGTTAAAAAGAGACATACTTTTAGCATTCAGATTCGTAAGGAAATCTCACTTTTTCTGTCTGTTTTACTCAGTCATCCCAGTTTACCTGAGGGGTGCAAGAGAACTGAGGACTCATATTTATATTAACTTTTATCATGTGTGATATGGCTGTACCTATACTTTCTATCACAGAGCCTGGACATAGTCATTCTGAGCCATTGCTACCAAAAGCCCATATCGAAATACTGTTGAGGAAGGTATAGAAAAAAACCCCCTCCCCACTCTCTTCAAGGACATTTAACCAGTCTTAAAGAATAAAAGGTTTTTGCAGCCTGAAGTACATTTAGAATATTTTTCCAAAAGCTTATAAAACTTCCTTTAAAATCAACATGATTAGTTCAAGATAGTACCTCTTAAGCATATTTTTTTCATTATTTTAGTCTTTTATCAGGTTACCAAGTGACTTGCAATGGTACTGTGATTAAACTGCATTTAAAATTTGGAAATCTCTTTATTAATCATTTTGTCATCTGCTAATCTCACAATATGTGGCACTGTAGCATCAGAGGTGCATGTGAGCACACTGTTGCAAGAAGTGAATTATTTGCAATGTATGATGAAGCATGTATCGTGCAGTACCACAGTCACAGCTTTTTAGTCTCATGAAGAATATCTTTATAAACTCCAGGTCTCAGAGGTTCTAAGGCACCTGCAGGACATAACGAAAACTTGCAAGGACTAAAGGAGAAACTGTGCTTGATGAATGAGAATGATAGTAAGTAGAACTACTGTTCACACAGCCTGAAATCTACGTGTTAGGCCTTATATCAGGTTAAAAAGGGGTGTTATATGCTATATAAGTTAAATAATGAGTTGTTTTTAAAAAAAAAATAATTAGTGTAGATGTGACCCATTAAGTGCCACAAGGATTTCAGCTCTATATAACTGATCTTCCAGGTCTATGGGTGTAGACTCCTCTTCTCTTCCTTTGGCTATTTATAAGGGACTGATGTTTTCTTTCTGTTCTAGGACCCAAACGTTCACTATGCCCTGTAAACTGGAAATTGCTTGGAGGCAACACCTGTTTCTACCTTTCAGAAAGGGAGGCCACATGGCAGGAAAGTAAAGACTTTTGCATCTCTCAGAATGCCACCCTTCTTATGCTGAAAAGAAAAAGCAAGTTGGTATGGTTCCAGTCACACTGGTATTTCTCTGCATTGGTATCAACTATTCAAAACTCCTCATCAGTCAGCAAGTACCTCTTGATGTTACATAGTAACAGAGTTACTGTTCCCAAGGTCTGAGGCAATGCAGTCTGCAGAACAATTAACCACAAGTGTGTAATGATGAGGTAGCTGGCAACACAGGATATTATTCAGTCAAACAGTGGACATGATCCTGGGAAAGTTACAGGTAGTGAGTCTTCATTCGGGAAATTCCTGAATATGCTGAGAGACAGGGCTCTACAAAGAATTGTTTTCCTGATCTTACATTTAGTAGAGATGCCAGACACAAAATATTCCTGTTTGCATGTCAAATAGAGATGTTGTCTCTTGGAAACTGTTATGAGGGACTGATGAGGAGTTCAGAGAGTCATTGTCAAATTACCTTCTTTGGTTCTTTCTTGATCACCTCCTCTCTCAACAGTAATTCTTTAGGTACAGCAAAAAAAAAATACCAACAAGCTCCTTGGTGATAAAGGGTTTGCATTTTTTATAGATTAGCATATCTCAAATATCACAAAAACAATTTTATTGGATTGGATTATCATATGGAGTTGATGGCTGGTCTTGGATAGATGATACGAAACTTTCTACAAAGCGAATGGACTGGTAAGTTTTCTGAACTTAAACAGTTGGTGGTTTTTAATGTCTTGCACAGTATTCTCCCTGTGCACTGAATGAGGAAACCAAAATCCCATTAGTGGCAAAGCTTCAAGGCAGAATACAGCCACAGATGTATTTGGAGTTAAAATACTCTTTCAGGTGCGGAGGGCGTGAAATAGAGAAAAGGTCTCAGAAAACTGGCAGTGTGAGCAGAAGAAGAGGTCTGTAAACCCATACAACCAGTGACTGCTCTCAGTATTTAAACTCATTCACTTTATGAAACATCTCATGACTCTATAGGAAGGAACCTACACCTTCTTCAATGTTTTGAATGCTTACCTCCTGCAAAGCCTACATGAGCCTGCCTCCTCTACTCAGCCACAATTATCCCAAATTCACTTATTTCTTCCATCAACATTTTGAAACCTTTTCCACACAAAAGGTGTAGAGAGACGTGGAGAGAACGTGTTTACTTTCCATGTGAAATCTCACCAGCTTACTCAATGTATTTAACCTTTAATAATCATGGGTGAAAAATTTGAATTTCCATTCTGTTCTGTGTGAAGTGATCAATGTATGCAATGATATGAGAGTCCTCTTCAGGGTCTGGAGAACCTTCTTCAAGTGAGGATTCTCCAGTGCCTCCTTGCAAACACATGTTCATTTTGTCTTGCAAACTCTTTCATTGCTCATGGCTAGTAGACATCAGGCAGAATGATCTGGCTTCTGTTTGGGCAGACCATTGCCTTTCAGTTTCCAAACCCAAATTACCACTACATAAAGCAATGGTTGGAGTGATATAACCACTGGTGAGAAACTAGTGGTATTTTCTGCTTTGATGATGCTCCATACATAGGCTTTCTTTTTCATATGTTTGAGCTGAAGCCAGGTGGAAGAATGATCCTTCAGACTTGAGTTATATAAGATGTTCTTCAATAGTTTGCATAAACCTTTATAAACCTTAAAATAACTCATCAACTTTTGTAATAAGGTATGGTTGTCCAAAAGGACTTTTTTTTATTATTATTTTTTTGTATGTGACAGTTTTTAACAAGATGGTGTGTTGGTTTTTTTTCCTCCTAGGATTGATTTGTCCTCTAAGCAAAACTGTGCATACCTGTTTTATGGTAACTCAAGAGTTTACAGTTGGAATTGTTATGAGAAATATCCCTGGATTTGTGAGAAGGCAGCAGTCCAACTGATTTAAAAAGATTATCAGCAGAAAAAGAACTGGAAGAGTATAAAGAAGATTCTAGTGTTCAGATTTTTCAAAGAAGGGGTGTAAAATAATGTTTAAGACAAATTCAGAGCAGTCTTCTTTCTTCCTACTGTATTCACACAAACACAAAAATGGATGAGACAGAAAGTCTTTGCAGCTAAAATAAAACAGCAGTAACAAATACCTACAAACCAGAGACAAGATATTAGTCTCATTGTTCTAGTTCAGAAACCTCTGTCTTAGCAATGCTGACAATCTTAAGCATTAGAAATCAGAAGTGTGAAGGCCTGAGGGACCACTTCTTGTCACTCTGATTGGAATTTCATCTATAACCATTTCTACCAAGGTTCTCTCTTTAGTCCATTTGACCTTACTCAGATGATAAATGTTCTCTCACTTCTACTTGTAAAGATATGCTAACCTCTGATAACTCTTAACTATTTCCAGTCCTCCCTTCAGCACACTCTCAGTTATTCTATATGTCTCTAAAATTCCAAGGCAAGCTTTCCTCTCCTTTTCTACTCAAAGACATATGGCTCCCTTGTTCACTACACGGCAATGAAGTATCACTCAGCATCCTCATTCTCTTCTTGACTAGGTATAGTATATGAATTTTAGATATGTTCAAATTTTATTTCTACATAATGATGCATTTCCTTTACATGCAATAATATGATCTTCCAAGAATGCCCAGAAGTCAGTGCTAAATGAGCTTTAACAAACATTATACTATTATAATAATCACCATTGCAGTTATGCAGGGAGAATGGGAATAGTGATTGAATTTTTCCAAGAACAACATCTGAGGGCCATTAGTCTTCAGCTAATATGCAATATGTCCATCCTTTAACCTGATGCATCTTATCATATGAAAGCACAGATATGAGGCATGAATGGCTGCACTGATAGCTTGAATGTTGCAGCGATACTCAGAAAAGTATTAATTGCTGAATGGGGAACTGAATTTTCCAATGCATTGGAAAAATATTTTTGGTATTATATATTAATTGTCTCTTTGAATGGATTATTTTCTAAATCAAACAACTGTACCTGGTGCATCTTGTTCAGGATCGTGAGGGAAGTGACATGGATAAAAAGCAAGCTCACAACCCTGGACTTCAGGTGAGCAGACTTTGCCCTCTTCAAAGATATATTCAGAATTCTGAGTACCATGGGATAAGACTTTGGAGGAAGAGAGGCCCAAGAAAGTTGGTAAATATCAAAGATTGCCTCTTCCAAGTTCAAGAGTGGTCCATCTCAGTGAGTAGGAAGTCAGGCAGGAATTCCGGGAGGCCTACATGGATGAACAATCTGAACCAGGCAAAACTCAAACACAAATAGGAAGCATACAGAGGGTGGAAGCGGGGACAGACAACCTGGAAGGAACACAGAGACATAGTGTTAGGAGGTTAGGTTAGGAATGAGGTTAGGAAAGCCAAAGCCCAAAATGAATTTAATCTGGTGAAGGGTGTCAAAGGCAACAAGGACCTCTGCAAGTACATAGATGACAAAAGGAAGACTAGGGAAAATGTGGGCTCACTGCTGAATGAAACCAGGGCACATAAGACATGGAAAAGGCTGAGGTACTGAAAGCCTTCTTTGCCTCACTCTTTACTAGCAAGACCAGCCTTCAGGAATCCCAGGTTCCAGAGATGAGGAAAAAGTTTGGGGCAAGGAAGATGTATCCATGGTGGAAGAGGATCAGGTGAGGGAATACTTAAGCAAGCCGGACATGCATAAGTTCATAGGCTCTGATGAGATGCACCCATGAGTACTGAGGGAGCTGGCAGATGTATTTGCAAGGCAACTCTCAATACTATTTGACTAATCATGGCAACTGGGAGAAGTGCCCAAGGACTGGAATAAGCAAATGTCATTCCTATCTTCAATAGGAGCTACAGGCTATTCAGACTCATGTTAATCCCTAGGAAGTTGATGGAGCAACTAATCCTGGAGACCATTTCCAGATACATGAAACACAAGAAGATGATTGGGAATAGCCACCATAGATTCACCAACCTGATAACCTTCCATGATGAGATGATTGGCCTGGGTAGACAAGGAGAGAACAGTGAATATTGTCTACCTAGACTTCAGTAAAGCTTTCAACACTTTCTCGCATAAGAGCCTCATAGAGAAGTTATTGATGTATAGGCTCACAGACAGTGAGGTGGATTGAAAACTGGCTAAACAGATGAACCCAGAGGGTGGTGATCAGTGGCATGAAGCCTACAGCTGGAGACCAGTCACTGGTGGTGTACCCCAGGGGTCAACACTGGGTCTGACCTAGTTCATCATGTTCATTAATGATCTTGATGGTAGGGCAGAGTCTGCTAATGACACAAAACTGGGAGGAGTGGCTGACACATCAGAGGGTTGTGCTGCCATCTAGAGGGACCTCAACAGGCTGGAGAAATGGGCTGACAAAAACCTCACTAAGTTCAGTAAGAAGTGCTAAGTCCTGCAACTGGACAGGAACAACCTGTGCACCAGTACATGCTGGGGGCTAACCAGCTGGAAAGTAGCTTTGCAGAAAAGGACCTGGGGTTCTGATGAAAACCAAATTGACCATGAGCCAACGGTATGCCCTTGTGACAAAGAAGGCTTATGGTATCCTGGGCTGCATTACGAGGAGTGTTGCCAGCAAGCCAGGAGAGGTGATCTTTCCCCTCTGCTCAGCACTGGTGAGGTCATACCTGGAGTTCTGTGACCTGTACTGGGCTCTCCAGTATAAGAGAGACATAGACATACTGGAGACGGTCTAATGAAGAGCCACAAAGATGATGAAAGGACTGAAGCATCTATCCTATGATGAAAGACTGACAGAGCTGGGATGATTTAGCCTGGAGAAAAGAAGGTTTGGAGAGGCACTTAGTAATGTATATAAATACCTGAAGGGAAGCTACAAAGAGGATGGACCTGGGCTTTTTTCAGTGGTGCTCAGTGACAGGATCAGAGACTATGGGCACAAACTGAAACATGGGATGTTCCCTCTGAACATTAGGAAACACTTCTCTACTTTGAGGGTGACCAAACACTGGCAGTGGTTGCCCAGAGAGGCTGCAGAATCTCACTCTATGAAATATTCAGAAGCAATCTGGACATAGGTTCTAGGTGGCCCAGCTTGAGCAGGGAGGTTGGAGCACATGACCTGCAGAGGTCATAGAACCACAGAATGGTTTGGGTTGGAAGGGAACTTTAAAGATCACCTAGTCCAATCCCCTTGCTCTGTGCAGGGACATATTTCACTAGGACAGGCTGCTCAAATCCCATCCAACTTGACCTTGAACACTTCCAGGGAGGGGGCATCCACAGCTTCTCTTGGCAACCAGTGTCTCACTACTCCAAAAATAAAAAAATTCTTTCTTATGTCTCATTTCTACTAATGATAAAAATCCTCTTGTTATTGATCCAGGTTTGAAAGTGACTCTGAGATGTTTACATCATGTTGGAAAATTGATTTGAGTGGATAAATTGGAAAAGGTATTTTTGATGTATTTTCATGACATTTAGTACATTATGTCTGCTATAAATTTGTTGCATATTTCTATATGCATTTTGCATAAGCATGCAACTGGAACCACCACATTCAACAGTAACACATCTTGGTCTATGAATGTGTGATGTTTGTGATATGACCTTACTTATACAACAGAAGAAACTGTTCCCTTTCCTTTAGTTGTAATATGCTTCAAAATGCAGATTTTTTAAGTGCATAGGACTTTTGCCATCATAACATGGGCAAGTTGATGCCAATTATTTACTTACAAAATACTGCTTTCCATCTACACAATTCGTATTAAGTATCTGCACCACATTTTGTGCTAAGACAAGCCTTCAATTTAATTTGAAGTTATAAATAGCAGCAAATATGACTTCAGCATGGTCACTTGACTGTCCATCTCCAGGAAATGTTTTACCCACGAAGGCCACCTGTGCATCTTGTGCATTTCAGTGTGTTCCAACTGAGTGCTCCAATTCCATATGTCACTTGAGTTGGTTTGTTTGTTTCAGGTGCCCACTGTTGCTAGCTATGTTTTTCTGAAAAAAAGCCCAATAAATTTAAAGAATGAGAGAGGAGTAAAACACAAGAAACACTGAATAAGGAGGAAATACTGCCTTTGCTGATGATGGCTTAATCAGACTTACGTAGTTTTTCTCTGCTAAAGAATACTTCAAAACTCTGAATATTTTTGTTTCAAATCAGAATAAAAGGGCAATACTTCTACAGAAGGAGTATTTCTTCCTGCTCAGTTTTGTGGTGGGCCTTCAGAATGGCGAGAAGCAGGGAGGGTAGGTAAGTTTTCAGGATAGCAGGCATATGTGTGATTGGATACCACTAACTCTGAATTTCTGAAACAGAAACAGAAATAGGCTTCTCTGGAAGCATTTACACAAGCTTTACATTTTTGTTTTCAAATGTAAAATCACAAGGTTCTTTTTACTAAATTTACAGGATGAGAATCTTAATTTAGCAAAAGGAGAAATCCCCACATGACTCTAACCAGAGAACTGGAGGATGAGTAATGTTTCCTTTTTGACATTTTTTTTTAGCATTAAAAATAGTTCTTTTACCCAAGAGGGTTAGTGTTGATGGAAAGAGAATAAAAGATTAGAGAGAGGGCAAAATATTAGACTAAACAAGCTTGAATACACAGGTTTAAATGTAAGTTCCTAAAATCATGACACTGTGTGCAGAATTCCAAGTGCATAGAAAAAAACTCTCTTGACCATCTCTCATGGCATTGACTTTGGTTTTACAGCTAGGATATGAAGACTCATTTTAAACAAAACTGAAAACCTCGGAAAACTTAAATATTTCACTCAAAGTACCCAATATGCAGCTGCGTTTACTGTGATATATTCAGTAAATCACTATGCTTCTCTCCCTGCTTCCTTGTTCTCTCAGCAGTCCTTAGAAGAGGTTATTTAGCAGCATTTTCCATATATCATGTGGCTGGGCAAACTGAAAAATGAAAGTATATTTTGGAAGGCCTGCTGTTTAAAGACAGCAGCTTCTGTCTCCACATGAACTCAGAGACACATCTATTCTCTCTGCTAATTATGAGTACTGGGATCTTGCTGCAAGAACTTTTCCCCCCACTTGGATTTGTTCAAGTTTTTATGATGCAGGTGGTTCACTGACTGTCTGCCACCAAGGGTAAAGAGCATGACAATGCAAAGAGGAAAACTCATTAAAAAATAAAGCTGTGACACTCCATTCAAGGTTGCATCTCTGGGCTTTGCTGAGAAATGAGCTACTTGTGCAGCTATATGTCAATATGAAGTGACTGAAAGCAATGTAAGAAAACCAAGTGAGCAGAACGATTTGTCATAGGCACTATGAAGGAAAACACTCATAAAAAGTAGTTTAGTAGATCTATTGAGATGAATATTTATGTTGGGAACAGTAGGGAAATTATTTGCCAAGAAGCAAAGCACTGAGAGCAGTTTATAAGCTGAAGGCTTGTTTTGTAACAAAGTGGCATGGGTACAATGCTTATACTCTGATTTTAATTGACGTTTCATTGAACTGAAAAGGCTAATTATAGACAAGATTTTTTTATCACTGCGAACAACATAACATCAAGAATACAGAACTGGTTGTGCTAATAAAACCTTATTGCAACAACAGACAGTAACTAATTATTAATCTGGTGGTGGCTATAAAAAAAATTCAGCCTTTCTCTTTTTCAGTGTGCAACAAAATGTAAAGATTTGCTATGAGCATTGTATGACTTGAAATGACTCCATTCATTCAATTAAACATATGATTACATGCTGCCTTTTGAACTTTGTCAGTTTCAAATGCTTTCTGCAGCCAAATGACAGCAGAGATGATATGGTTCTTAGGACAAATTAACATTGAAGTTGTGATAGTTTCAAAGGACCATGCTTCACAGGTAGCTGTGCACAATGCATGACTTGCAAAGTTAAATGGAAAGACTGTTTCTCCAACTCATTGCTGACTAAGAATATTCTCTTTACTCAGCAGCACAGAACAAACTCCTGTGAACCAACTAGTTTAATGGGCCCTGGGCAATTTGAGAAAGGTTTCTGCAGAGAACATTTCAAAGGGAGTTAAGAAGAATGTGCATGAAGAATGCACAGAGTGATTTAGAAGGTGGCTCAATGTGTGTAGATGGCTATGAGAAAGGGTAAACTGTGCATGAAATTGCTTCGTTCTGAATTGCTTTAAAGTTCTGAACATTTTAACCTCATATAACAAAAGATGCGACATCTATTAAAATAATTATTGTGACTTAAGTGATCATCTTATGTGTAAAGCTAAATTCTTCTCTCCTGGTTTAAGACAATATACATGAACTAATTTATGCTACATATGAAGGAAATTCAGGATTAGGTATTAAACAAACACAGTAATGGGATGTACACTGCACATCCCAGGATAATTACTGGATGCCATGTGCTCTTCCATTCTGTGCAACTTGGCTCATCGTGTAACAATTATAATTACGAGGCATTGAGGCATGAAGATGTGGTATAAAATGAAAAAAAAAACCAGACAGCAGTGATGACCAGGAACTTACTCCTTGTTTTATAAGTTCCTGAGCTTGTGAATATTCAGCAGCCAGCCATGGGGACCAGTGTTTTGTGCCCTGGACAGGGGGACAAGATGGGCTAATATATTCTCCTCCCAAATGTAGTACAGAACAGCACACTTAAATCCAACATTTCCTTCCTTCGTTTTCTGCAGCATTTTGCCCCCAGCAATAGTCCACAATACCAGTACTTTTCACACGCAACAAGTTTATCTCAGCCAGGCCCCTACAATCAACCATTGTTCCCCTCACTGGTCCGCTGACCCCTTGCCCATCACACCAGTTCCCTCACATCAGTTTTGCTCACTGCTTCAGCCCTTCTCCAGCTTCTCCTAATACCAGCCTCCTCAGTGAGGGCTCTCCTGCTTCCTCGTGGAGTGATCTTTAAGACCCTCTTGTATTAACAAGGGTTATACGACAGTTATATCATGCCTTGCATGTTTCAGAACAACAGCCCTGGATGGGTTACCCCTCCCATCATTCATGTCGTACCTGCATCCTGCTGGGATCCCAGGTAGTATTGCCACGGCTGCTGAGGCTCCGTGATTAGAATTAGAAAATGCAGCATTTCCAGACTACAAGATAGCTGTGTGACAAGACACTCTCTGTTGTCTCTGCTCCTCTAAATTACTTCTTCATATCTATAATTAAGATAATTGCCATATTGCTAAACACTCATTTAGAGTTAGATACCACAAACTTGTTGGCTGTTGCTACTGCAGACTTCTGATGCACAGCTTTATGCCTGAAATAAACGTAATTAGAGGCTTGTCCAAATACCTCCACCTTCCCCAACTTACAGTTCCATTTTCATTGAATGGTTCAAATTAGTACAAAATACACGCACAGAACAAAAGTCCTAAAGATAAACGTGACTGTTCCTGAGAGATTTCAAAGATCTCTGTTGTTTGTCAGTGCTACAGAAGACAGACGCTCTCCTTGATGCAGTCTTCTCTTTGAACAGCCTCTTAAACAGTAGCGAAGCGGCAGGAGGCTTTGCATCATTTAAAGGCCCTGTATTTGATGGCTGTTGAGCCTACTGTGCGCAGTGACTTACTAAAAAGACACACTACAGAAAAGGTCAGCAGCAATAATATTTATTCCAGTTGTGAAATTCTGCAACAGAATGGAAAATGGATTTAAGAAATCAAAGAATTGGATCAGACGTGACATGAATAATTATCAAGACAGATGTCTTAGAGGAATGCACCTTTCCCGCTAATGCCCAGTGCAGCAGAACAATCCACTAACAGCTGGACTGGCATTCTTGGGCATTAAATATTGCTGACTTTCCTCAATAAAGATGTGTTCTGTAATTGCCTTCTGTACTTTGAGCCCATAGGGCATACAATGCCATCTGAAAGCTTTTCTCTCTAACCAGGAGAACTATAAATATTTTTGTTTTTTAATGCAGGCTCTGATTCTGTTGCACTTTCTAGTTATCAGTAAGTGGAGAGCGAAATGAAATCAAATATTTGGAAATTTATTGTAAATTGCAAAGTCACATCTGTAACACCCAATGGATGGATTTTGACAAACAGTCATTTATTCCTGTTTCTCAGAAATAAGTAAGAATCTTTAAAATAGACTTCTGGAATCATATACTTAATTTTGTTTCATTTAGAAAGGAATTTATGAGAAGTAGATGGAAGTGGTTACACAAGAATGCAAGGACTGAAAGAATAAAGAGAGAATGAAATTGATGAAGAAAAAGGCCAAGAAGCAGCCTGGCTGATGTGCATCACCAGAGGGCAAGTTAATCTTAGATTATCCCTGATGTTACATTAACCTGAGCTCAGACTCGTTTTCCCTATCACAAACCCTGCGGCAGAACTCACCCCCACAACAGCGTATCCTAGGACGTGGCTCTCTGCAGAGCTCTGCGCACTAGTGCCTCTCCGAGTAGCTCACTTGTTCAACCATTGCAGGATCCACCACTTTCTCACAAATGTAAAATTTGTACTCGTCGCACTGTGCAGCATCTATGTTTGCACCTTGAAGCCACACACAGTCTAGGAAAGGGCTTGAGCTGGCTCGCTGGATCTGAAACCTGCAAAAAAATAGCAGAGATATTCATCATCCCATGGAAAAAGTCACAGGCTGATACAATAATTCCTGATTGATGCTACTCATCTGACCCACAATACCAAACAAGCTCTCTGATGGGGTCTTGCCTAAGTTGATAAGCGATGGGTAACCTGTCTGCTGGCAAGCAGGCAATTACTGATTGAGGGTTGCTGCTTCTGGCTTATAACAAGTATGCCTAGACATGGTCTGTTCCTATCTGTGCAGTAACTTACAGATCAAGGGAGAAAGCTGATCCATCCTCCCACAGCCAGCGCCCCTCAGCTCCATTGCGAGACAGCCCAATCCAGAAAGAGTAAGGACTGTAAGACTGTGCTGATCGTATTGTGAAGTCCTGTACAGAAAGAAATGCAAAGCCTGTGAATCACATCCCTGCTTCAGTCATAACAGCCTATGATTTGGAAAAGCAGAGAGACAAATGAAAGCGAGCTGCTCACACCTGTGCGTAACAGACTTTGATTTCCAAGTGAATCTGGGCAGTGCCTCCTACTTCTGGCAATCAGTGCTGTTTTGGAGATAAGGAAAATGAACCTGCTGAGAGCTTTCAGTAGCTCTCAGCTAAAATGACAGTTGAGATAATAACCAAAGCTTGCACATTAGCTGGGTAATGGTATAGGTTAATGACTTCCTTCCAACACACTGGCTGTGTAAGTGAGGCAGGTAAAGGCCTTTGCATCATTTGCTATCATTGCACACAGAAGATTCAAAATACAGGCAATAACACCATGGAAGTCAAGATACAACCTCATTGCCATTAAGGGTCAGGGTAGAAATCCCTTCACAGCAAAGAGATCTCCTGGTTGTGCTTTATCTGCTGCTTCATTTAGAACTTTGGAGTCAGAAAAGGACAAGGATCCTCTTCCACTCATATGGGAGAAGAGGTCAGGGAGCAGGTCAGGCCAGTGAGCTTTCTAGTTGTGTACAGCAAGAAGCTGAAGGCCAGGCTTCTGATGTTTGCTTGTCTGCTCTAGCAAGACAACAAAAGTACTAGCCAATCACTACTAGCTCAGTTATATTTGCCCTGAGGTGGGATGGAGATCTAGATGTAGACCCAAGTTGATGGGTCTCCTGAAGTCAGTAGAAATGCATCAGAGAGGGTGCAGCCAGAGCACAGGCAGAGGGACTCCAAAGGGGTATGGACAGCTTTTTCCATTTGGTTCAGCACACACATGCCATAGCACATAGTGGAAGGAAGTAGTGGCTGTTCAGGTCACAGTAAAATGCAGAATGTATCATTAGAGAGAGAAAAAAATAATCTTTACTAGCTCTTCCTTACTCTCTATCTTAAGAAGTCTGGACTCCAGAGCAGAGCACTGAGCCTTGCTTTCTTGCCAAGTTTTATATTCTTTTGAAAAGTGGTAGCAGTTCTCCCCATACTGTAGCCAGTTCTCAGGACAAGGAATACATTTCTGCCCTTGAAAACAAAAGAGCACCTGATCAGGTTTGTCAGTGACGGCAGCCTTCAGTGGTCTAGTGGATTCCTGCAGGACCACTAGAGCAGTACACAGTCTCTGTCACAGAGGAGCAACAATTACTCCTTCATTCTCCAGCTAAATACATGTTTTCATTGGGGACTTAATAAATCCTGTTGCCAGAAGACCAGAAAAAGCATTTCTAAATGAAAATCAGGAAAACAATTCATAAATATTTTTTGTATCTGACCAACAAACCTGGAGGGTGCTAGTAAAACAAAAATAGAGGGGATTTTGAAAGTTGAGTCATGCTCACAAAGATAGAGATGTAAGTGGACTTAAAAGGAAAACTAGACTTTCAGTCATATGGTTACATCTCTTATTTACTTTACTTCTTGATCAGGGCCAGCTCTTCCTTGCTATGTGCTTTAGAATGCAACTGATACTTTAACTTTTCTGGCAGCATTTCATACTTTCTATGGATCCAGCGTGCAGACATCAGATAGAGATGGCCAGCCAAAGTGAAAGATAATGAGCCTATTGCTGTTAAAGAAAATATCTTTCTGACAGCTGCACTTTGACTCTTTTCTGTCACATTATTCTCTTAGCTGAGAAAAAAAAATACTCTTGCCATACAGTCTGTAAACAGTTAAAGCCAGTGATTACAATCCTATTTGGCAAAGAGTAGCAGTTTTTCCACTGCTGCATCCACTACAGTGTAGCAGAATGAAGCTGTCTTCAGGAGTCAAAGCATTTCAGACAATTAAAGACAGTAGGAATTTTCCATTAATCTTTTTTTAACTTTTACTATAATTCAATGAAACTGACTGTGAAAGAGGGATTGGTAGCATCAATGAGTTTACCTATTAGAAACATATATTTTTTAAAAGGTGTCACCATCATGGTATTTTCTGAATTAAAGTGTTTGCCTTAGATTATAAGACAGCTCCATTATAAAAACTCAATAAACGTACTTCAGAAAGACTGATACTTTAAAAATTATCAAAATGGAAATGCAGACTTTTGGACGACTTGATTGAAATGGCTTTTAAATTAAATAACTCAGGGCAATTTTAGAGATTTTGATTTTTCCTTTCAATATGGTCAATAGAAAAAAAATCAATCTGTGGCTACCATAATGTGATGGAACCACCATCTTCCCACCACTGTGTACCTCTGGAAGCGACAAGTTGCTTTACAGTCTCTGTCAAGTTCAAATTCTGAGCATGGAGAAGCTCCAGCTGCTGGTTGAGGCTTTCCATTATTGCCTTTTGCAGTGTGAAGTTTTCATCCCTTTCTCGCACAAAGTGGCAGACCAGGATGACTTGAGTCACAGTGAAACAAGAATGAAATTGTTCCATTAATAGTAAAGTTAAACTGCTCAATACAACCTGAATAAACCTACCAAAGACACATGTAACCTCCCCATGACTGAATATACTTGACCCACACACACTTTGTGCACACCTAGGAGTAAGACATCTCATTTTCAAAGTCTGGGAGCTCTCTCAAGTGGGAAAACTCTTCCAGAAAGAGACACTTTTTTGCATCATTAATCCCCTGGACTAATCACGTTCCTTAATTAATTTCCTAGACTTTTAGTTGTTCATACTGAACTCTGAGCACCCCTTCTGTGATCATACTTACACCTGGCAGCCAAGATTCCTGCAGCTACCATTGAACTTAGGCAGAAGACCCCAAGTGCCACTGTAGCCAGTTGCCAACAGGAGGATGGGCCAGTGGAATCTGGGATAGACAAAAAGAAGGAAAGCAGCAAGAACAGGAACCTCTCATTTTTGTATCTGCAGCTCCTATGTTGCAAAAGACAACATGACCACTAATCTGTCCAGTGAATTGCTGAGTTTCAGATAAATATGTGGTATTACATTATAAAAATTGTCCCATTGTTTGGATGTGACCAGTCTACCTTAGAAGTTGGGGGCTGGGAAGTGAGCAACCCATGAAGACTAGCTTAGCCAGGAGCTTTTAAGAGAAAACAAATTTCACAGATTTGACAAACTACATCCTACAACCTTAATTATATCTCTCCTCTCAGATCTAAACAGTTTCCTCACATTCTCCACTCTTCCATTCTTTTTAATTTCCTGCTTTTACTCTTTTCCTTTCTCCAGTTTCTTAGAATATTTGAGTCCAAAGTGCTTCCAAAACCCAAGATGGTTCTTGGTAGGTGACATTCTCCTCTGAGTCTCACATAAAAAATCATTCTCCAAGGTGAGAGTTTGTCTTGGAGAGAACTGCCCCCCCCCCCCCCCCCACCCCCCCCCCCCCCCGCCAGCACCACCAGTACCTTTTGCTTTGGCAGTCTGGAGCTCCTGGTCCTGGGACTTTTCCAGCGTCATGAACCTTAGGTCTGCATATGTCACTTCTTCAGTCATTTCTAGCAAAGTTAATGGAGAATTCAAGTTGATCACACAGGAGATACAGGGATAAGGTTCTGGCTGGGATCGAGTGAATGGTCAGTGTCATTGGGAGTTAACAGAGTGATTCATGCAACAGTCAGAAGGGTTTTTTGCCTCATACTAAAGGATTTCATGACACACTGATACTGCGGGTTGTTTACATGCAGCAAAGTCCCAGAATAGTATTTAAATCTCCTGCATGTGCAAAAATGCAATGGGGCATGAACACCTCACAGTTCTCAGTCCCTGGAACAGACACATAGAGTTACTCTATTTGGGGATATATCCTCTTTGTAGAAAGAAAATGAAGGAAGAGGAGAGGTGAAGAGGAAACTACATTTATTTTTTACTAAGTCTAAACAATGCCTTGAAGTTTTCCAGCAGCAGGGGGGTTGTTTCCTGTCTTTATTACACAGTGATTAATATTCAGTAAATTCAGCCAGAAGGGGTCCTCAATTTCTCAAGTGGTGCAGGAAGACTGGAATGAGAAATGTACTCATCCCCTTTGCTTATTGCTTGTAAGCACATCACACTTGTCCTAATAGAGTAGCACATAGACTTGTCACAGTCATTGCCCCTTCCTGGTACACAAAGAAATGAATCGAGGTTTCCCAGCTGCCGTTCCAAGTATATTCCAAGTATGTAAAAGAGAATGAGCCAAAGAAATCTGCTGAACTAATGGGAAGTCTGGCTAGAAAATTAATGTACCGGAGTATGATGCAGTGCTCCTGGACTAGCTGTGGCCTGAAAGCAGTCCATGCGAAGTCACAGGTGATAAACTCTGCCTTTTAGCAAGAGCAATTAACAGAGCACTGCAGCATGCCATAGTACTAGAGCTGCTGCTGCATCTAAGGAGGGGTCATCTGTCAGATTCTGAGTGCCTGCACCATGCTCTCTCAAACTTTGAGCACTAGGAATAAAATGGAGAAATTTAACTGGTCCTACATTTCCTGATAGTTCTATTTCTGCTGGCAAAATGACAGGAATGAGATCTGAACTTTCAGTTTTATTTCATATGGCTCTACTGCACACTACCCGAAAACTGCTGGTCTCACCAGTTGTTAACTCAGGAACAAGGATGAACCCCAGGTAGCACAGAATACCCTCCAGCACCTCATCTCACCAGGGGCTTCACCAGCCTCTGCCAGCCCCAGGCTGCTGGAGATCAAAGCTCTTTGGGTACAGGGCAGAGGGCATTCCCACACTTTTTGATCTTACAGTGGAAAAATTGGGTGTAGTGCCAGGGGAACATAGAGAAATTCAAACTACTGTTGGATGTTAGGCTAGCAGGGCCAGAGGTGGATTACTGGAAGCACAGCATTAATGGCAATGCCATAGAAACAGAAAAAGAATGATCAATAAGTTTCATGAAGGAGTTATGGTATGCTTTTGAAGGGGTTACTGTTTCATGTCACATTGCTGCTCCTTCTTCAGAGAAATTTTTTATCACTTTCTCTAATATTTCTCCAGTTTGATCCAGTTGATGAAAATCTCATGAAACTGAATTTCAGATAAAAATCAAATTATAATTTATTGAATTATCACATTGATAATAAAAAGCCTCTGAAAAAAACCTGGTAATTTCTTTTCCATATTGAATCCTTCCAGTTCTAAAAGCCATGCATACAAGAAAGGCTATTTTACAGTTCTGCTGGGTCTTTCTTCTAAAACTCCTACAATACACAAAAGAATTTAAGAAGGAGACAAAAAAAATTATTGGGCAATTCCTATATAAATATAAAGCAAATAGTTTGTGTTTCTATGTTTCTTATTTGTCCATCAAGACCCAGAAACCTTCTGGTAGTAGCCTAGTATAGATAGATGGATGGATTGATAGACAAACAGACAGATAGATAAATAGATAAACAAAATCATGCTAGGGCAAGTTTACATGGCACCACTACTCTTATAATTAGAGAATGGTAAATGGTTTTTAGCTTGCCTTGGGAGAATACATTATGTTCATGAATCCATTGGTTCTGCTCTGCAACTCTAATATGCATCACCGAGGCTAATGATTCACCAGCTTAATGTGAATGCATTGTGATTGCAACATGGGGCAACAAGTTTCTCTAGTTGCTATCCTGCCCTTAACATACATTTATGCACCAGTCCCTGGTGGTTCCCAAACACAAATAGTAACACATTACTGCAGAGTATTTTTTCTGTCTCAACTATTCAGAAGAGAAAGAGAAGGTGAATATAATCATATGCATGTAATAACATTCTGAATAGCCACAAGCAGTAACAGAAATCTAAAGCAGTTCTACAAGAGAGGGGCAATGAATGGGTCACTGAATGGAGCCTACAAATTTAACCAGCTGCAGGACAAATTGTATCCAGGATAGGAGAATCAACATGTATGCACTGTGATGCAAAGTGTACCTCGCTGGGGGGATTTTGCTGGCCATGCAGGAAATTCAGGAATGGGACCTGTGAGTGAACAGATCATCAGTTGTAGGACTGACATAGCAGGAGACTACCAGGTAAGAGGGATGGTGGCAAAGCCTTAAAATGGGAGATACAAGAGGTGTTGCATGTGCATATAAATATATACACATACATATAAGTATATATATATATATATATGTGTTACCCATGTATATATGCAACATATACATATACATCATATACGTATACACATACACATACACATACACATACACATACACATACACATACACATATACATATACATAATGTTGTATATCATTATTATATTGCAAACTTTTTCACAAGAACATCTCACTTGTAACATACACTCTGGATGTTGATCATATCGCTAAAGTCAACAGACAATGTGAGTGCAGGAGCAGAAAAGGTACTTGAGGAGGAAGAGGAATCTGAACTCCATTTAAACCGGTCAAAAACATGACCTTCAACCCACTCCCTCAGGGTAGGGGCGGGGAGAGGAATAATTGGGAATTAACAAACCTGGAGACCCTTTCTGCTCAGAGGAGAGAAGGGTCAGGTCTGCAGAGATTTCATGATGCCCTTCACTAAACAAGTTCAACATCTAAAGTAAAAACTTGTAGCCACCGCTTTTCTCCTGATCTGACTGGAAGGCTTTAGAGATCCTTCAAAAGAGAGAGAGAAGCAGGCCAAGAGAACAACAGGCAGAAACAAACAGGAATTGCCAGCGACAAAGAGAGAAGGAGAGAAAGCAAAAACCTGAAAGGCAGAGAAGAAGGATAGACCCAGAGGAAGACAGAAATAGGTAAAGAAGGAAGAAGATATTAGATTTAACGCACAACAAGGAATCTGGTCCTTCTGGTTAGTGGTTAGTGGAATGGTGAGGATGAACTGAAACTAGAAAGGACAAAAAGACATAAAGCCGCTTGAGACTCCAAGAGGCCACAGAACCACACTACAGGGATGCATAGCCCAGTCATGATCTGCTTTGTTTTAGGGTGTTTCTTATGGGTAAGTTGCATCTCAGATTCCTTTTCATGGGGTGTCTGCTCAGTTATGGAGTAACTTTGGAAAGATGGAGGGGCATTAGCAATTGACAGTCACAATAATTTCCCTGATATTAGAAAGAACTGGACATATAAAAGGCAGGCATGTGGAAGAGAAGAATATTTGCTGCCATTCCAGGGATGGTAACAGTCAGGGCATCCAAGGAAAAGGAATGAGAAGGGTAGGAGTGCTGGAGGGACAGAGCAGAATTCAAGTCAGTGTGTGTATAATATGATGCAGGACATTTAAAGGTTCCTAATGTGAGCATGGGGAAGGATCTACATCTGCAGTATGACATAGCTTGTGGTGGGGAAAGGGAAACCTGAGGTGAGGGTGAAGGTAAGTCAGGGTCTATTCTGCGAATTGGCTAAGTAGGATTTTAATGACTGCGGGAAGATAAGATATGAAACAATGCAGCTGGTATCGGAGTAATTTCAAACCTACAGCAGAACATATGGAAACAACAAAAGTCAACAACATAGGAAATTCAGGCTGTCAAGAGTCCAGGCGACAGATATGAAAGTTGCATATGACAAGGACTTAATTCACTGTAGCTGTGTCATGTTTGCTTTTCTCCTTCTAGGTCCCCCAAGTGAGAGGTGAGGAAAGCTGTCTCAACACTGAACTGTGAGTATTTGTTGATCTTGCACTCTTTTAAGAAGACAGTGAAGGACAAAGGCAGTAGCAGACATCAGTGATATGATACGATACGATACGATACGATACGATACGATACGATATAAAAATTTTGTTTATTTGACTGTGAAGTGTATCATTTACTTTCTGTTCAACACACTGATCCAGTGGTACTGTTCCTGCTACCTATTTGGATAACTGTAATGATTAAGAGCTTTCTGGTATAATTTTGATTGACCAAGATTATAAATTTGGAATTGACCTTTCCTTGAACACTTATTTTAAATATAGTGCTTTAGCAAATATTCCTCTTGGTGATGTTGCTTGCAAGAAGAATGGGAATCAAGACAAAACAAATGCGAAAAATCACCTAGGAAGATTCTTTTTTGACTAAAAAAAAAGTCTTTAAAATTCATAGGCAGGTCTACTAACTAAAACTAAAGGAACATACAACACAGCATCCAAACTGTACTCACAGGGCCAGAAGGAAATCAAAGAGAAAGTCAGAAAAAAATAAAGCAAAAGATAGCAGGGTTGGGCAGACTAAATTTTGAAAAAAAAGTGTATAAAAGAAGACAAGTTCAGAAACTGTAACATCATGCAGATCACTAATGTTTGCATACAGAACTGGGCAGGTACAAACATCAGGGGAACAATAAAGAGAGAAAGCCAAAGAGAAGGCAAACTCACTTAACAGGGGGACTGATGAGTCTGGACAGCTGTTTCCTCCATGAAGTGAGTTTCTCATCATTGTGCCATTTAGAAGCTGGATTGTAATTGAGGAGCATGAGGGGAGCTGGAAGAGGACACAGTAGAGATCTTCCCATTTATTTGGCATTCTGTGGCTAACTATGTGTTGTACCCTCTTCTCCTCAGCTGTT